ATACATTACGCTAATAATTTGCTCGTGACGTCATGGCCTGTGTCATTTCTTAATATTCGGCTTTATTTGAGAATCTGGCTTTATCCGATTATTTTCTGTAAAACAAATTATACAGCTCATTATCGCTGTCTTGAAGGTTTATCTCCATGTCATCATTAAGTAAATTTTCATTAATAGGAATATCACCTTTAAAAGGGGTATATCCCTGGGAATCTATTAAGTCTTCATCGGAGTCGGTAGGAGTGCTTGATTTTCTCCTATTATCCTCCTCAACCTTTTCTTTACTTTTGATTTTTATGGCAACTGTTGGGTTGTTGACGAGGTCTATCTTTTCTGTTTTACCCATACCAAATGTGGACATAACTTGGAGACACATCTTGTACTGCGGTTTTAAGTTGCTTAGTATTTAAATGGGGTTTTTCTCTATAAATTTTTTCTTTAAGAAATTCAATTGGATTAAATCCAGTATTTATACTGGAACTGGGAATAATATCTTTAGAGGTTGGATTTATAATCTAAATTAAAGGTCAAGTGTTCTATCACTTGGTTGCAAGATTTGAAATGTGCCAAAAAAAAAAAAAGAGAGAAGTATGGCAAACAAGTGGACAGTTGTCCACATGAGGTAACCAAGGTGCATCATCCATGATGCAAGGGGGGCCAAGACTTTGGCCACTTGAACGACATAGCGAAGAAAGAAGAGAGAGAGAGAGAGAGAGGGGGGGGGGGGAAGGGGAAAGAAAGAAAATTGGTCAAAATTTTGTTGACCTAAGAGTTGTTTCTACGATCAAAATTTTGACTAAATGTTTTTAGTAGTAATTCTATAGGATCGAGTCACCTAAAGTTGATCCTTGCTAAATATTTTTGGATCAAATTTACATATCATTATTTTTTGTTAGTTATTTGAAAAATTATTTTAGCTTAACTAAGCCCTTATTATGTATTTTTATTCTAAATATTATTTTGGTTGTTTTGTCACATTACACGATATTGAGTAAAGGTCACGTCAGAGGTAGGGTTTCTTTTATATTTTATTGTCATTGGTGCATCTCATGCATATTTAGGGGCTTCATATCAATTCTATTTTTTTAATATAATATTATATTGCTTTAATCATGGGGTCGGACTTGGGTTTTATAAATAAATCGTGATTATGCACATGTTATATATTTTTTTATCTTGTCTTGTGAAACCAAGTTGCATATAAAATGTTTTTTTTTTATTCAGTGCTTGATTTTTTACTTGCTCTTGGGTCTGAATACAATATGAATCTATTTTATGATTTTGATGAAATTAGTATGGATGCATATAATCGAGGTAGAGGGTTAGTAGACGTGTGGTCTTTGTGAGAATTCACAGGATTTTTACTAGTCCTTGGGTTTACTGGTTAGTAATATCGGTTGCCGTGGTAGCCTGTGTGGTACCATATAATTCCCGGTATTGGTGTTCCTAGGGGGGGGGGGAAGGGGCATTGGGTTCCCTAAGGTGCAAGACCCCAAAATTTTTCTTCGGAGGTGGTTCATGCGTGGATCAGAAAATTGACGGATTGTTATGATCGATATGTGTTGAAATTTATTTATTATTTAATTCATTACTTTGTCCTATTCCTGAATTTACCTGTTGTTTAATTATATCATGTATTGTTTAAAATCTTGATAGTCATTGATAAATTATACCCTACTGGGCTGGTGAGCTCATTCCTATATAATATTTTTCAGAAATATAAAGTCAGATAGGAGGATAAGCTAAAAGGACAGTGGATAGAGACTGCTATTATTATTTTATTTTTATGTTATATCAAGGTCATTTTAATTGATCGATTGAGGATTATGTAATTGTACCTTTGAATATAATAATACAAGGAAGATTATTGTAAGTTATATGTGGTTTTATTCCTTAATCACGCCGGGATAATTTTTTTTAAAGAAAAAAAAATTGGGACGTGACACCTTTTGAAGTTTAAAACAATGGCCTCCATGATTTCCTGTAAGATTGTGGATATAATGCTCACAACTCTTCTGCTTAGTTCTATTCTGATTAGTGAGACAAATTTCTGCATATACACAACCACGAACACCGATTCTGGTTTGGAGACCTTGCTTGTATTCATTAACCAAAAGTTTGTTTTATTGTTAATCCTGATTTGGCAACATAATATAGTTTTTAATTTATTGTGAAACTTTAGGCTGCATACAGTGCATTTGGTAGCTATGGGAGCAGCTATGTACATCCACAAACCCCATCATCTGTGGCCCAGACTGCTGCTTATGGTGCTTATCCTTCTACATATGTGGCCCAGGTAACTCAAATTTTGTTGCATATCAATCTGTATAACTTCGGAGATATGGATTTTTATGGTTTCTTTGGTCATGCAGTTGAAGGTTTTCCAGTCTATTTGATAATTTTGATCAATTATTTCTCTCCTTTTTTTTTTTTGTTGGCTTATTCTTTGGTATAAAGCTATCTTTTTATCTGAGAAGAATTTTTCTGTTAAATCTGCCTCTATTATCTGCAAGTATCAATTTGTCTTTTTTTTTTTTGAAATTTCACTGGCTTTCCCCCAGCAAAGTTACGCTCCATCATCCACAGCTGCAACCTTGACTACAGCGCAGCAACCTACTTCAGCTCCTCCTCAGGCTTATTATGGCAGTAATTACTGAGCTGACAAAGATTATCCTACACTGTTTTGCCACTTGGAAGTTTCAACCAACTTTGTTGGCTGTAACAAATTGAGCCATACCATGGGTGTTGTTTGGACATGGTTGTGGAGGAAGTTGACAAGCACTTGGGATAGGAAAGCGAGCATGCTAAAGCAGTGATTGTATTTATATTTATTCATTTTTTGTTTTGCCATTTTCGTGTATTCTGGAGGATATGCCACTTGTTGTGTTGAGGCGGGAATCTCATTTCTTCTGTAAAATGTCTGATTTGGTGGTGGGCTGCCAGCGTGCTCCGAGGAGCCTTCTGAAGCCTTAGGACAGATGCTGAAAAATGGCTTCATGGGTTCGATGTAATAGATTGTTTCTTTTAATAGGTTAGATTATTAGCTAGATATGGTTTTAACTGTTTATGATGTATCCGTGGACCATTGTCATCTTGGTGCCGAATGCTTCATAATCAAAATTTTAACAGCATTTCAGTTGAATCTTCTTGAGATTGAATTGTTTTATACTAGGGGTGGCAACTGTCTCATTTTTTCTTTTTTTGTTGTTGGAGATGGGGAGTTGGAGATGGGGTGTGATGGCATGTGTGGTGTTGTAATTCTGATGTCTCAGGTTTGAGTTTTGAGTTATTAGACCAATTTTTTTGTTTCTTTGGTGGTAAGTATGTGTGCATTTAGCCCTATTCATATACTAAAGTGGTATATGTTTTGAGCAATAAATCACTTTGTTTTTCTTCTGGTTTATGATAGCTTGACAATAACATTTTATATTTAGGGTATGAGAATAATCTCATAGCCGATTTACACATACAGGTCGGTTACGGTATTAAAGGGGTGTATTAAGGAGTCGTAACAAATTCTTTAATCTAATCTTATATTATATTTGATGATAAAAAGTATTTTGTATTATATTATATCCGTCCGCATTGCGCTTGCCGGGACTATGAGCTGCCAGTGTGCCTTTCTTTGGGTCACTACATTTGGAATCAAGAATTGGTTCAAAAGTAGGTGGTGGTTCAAAATGAGCTAACTCGAGTTTTTGAACCGTGCTTTTCTCCATCTTTTTCTTGCCTAAAAGATGGAGTTATACTAATCGACTACACTTAAGTATAGACTTCTCCTAATATATGCCAAAAGTAATTTTGTGAAACTTGAAAAAATTACCTAACAATATTTAAAATATTGTACATGTTTTTAATATATTTTTATGTAATATGTAATAGAGTATTTTGTGGGTAATTTCAAGGTAGTTACTAAGATAGTGGGAGTCATGAGTTAGATTAATTATTAAAGTAGTTTTATTATCATGTATTTAAAGGTTTTTTTTATCAATGATGTGAATATGTTGAATATTATATTGAACTTTATTGTAGAAGTTTTGGAGATCGGTTCTTCTCGAATTGCCACCCCCTCGAAGCGGATTTTCTTCCTCGATTATATTTTTTCTTTGTTTTACAAATCACTCAAAATTATGTACGTAACAAGAAGTATCATATTTTGTTGTCAATTACACTTGTAGACGCAAAATCTCAATATACACTCGTAGAAAATAAGAATTAATTATTTATATATTGATGTTTTAAAGTTTATTTATTCAAGTCTTGTGGTTTTAAATTTGTTTACTAAATTATTTTTATTTTTTAAAAATATATTTTATTTATTAAATTATTTTGGCTATTTAAAATATATTTTAAAAACAACTATAATTTAATAGATAAATTTTAAAATACAAAACTTGAATAAATAAAATTAAAACGGTGGTAGTTAGATAAATTTTTTTTTAAACTTGGGTAAATCATATTTTTTACGTCAAAAGATTTAAAAATTTTAATTTTATATTTTTAAAGATTTAATTTCTCATGTTACACTTTTAATATATTAAAAATATTATAATATAATCCTTCCATTAAGTGTAATATTAGAAATTTAATATATTTTGGGTATAAAATTAAATTTTAAAAAATTTATCGGGATATAAAATATAATTCGCCCTTAAACACAAAAAAAAAAACTTCACAGATTGACTCATCTTTCGTGGGTCCCACTTATTAACGGTCCTCATCCACCCTGGCATATAATGGCGGCAAGAAGGAGCAACTTAATAAAAAGCCATTAAAACTCAACACAGTTCTCTCTCTCTCTCTCTCCTCACAGTATCATTGTTCACTATATCGGTCTATAAAGAAAAAGAAACATATATTGATTCAAATTCATCATTTCTATTGTACTCTCTAGAGTTCTTGATTTGGGGTTCCAAAGATTGTACTTCTTGGTGGATCTGATCAATTCAAGATACTGTCTTTTCTCGCTAAACGCTCTTGTAGGGGAGAGAGCGAGAGTAATGGCGAGTCCCTACCGTGCCTCTGTCAGCGCTGTTCAGGTGATTCAATTGCGTCATCAAGAAAGGATTGAATATGTCTTTGTGGTGTGTTGATGCAATCTTTTTAGGGTGTTCCAATCTTTGGTGTTTGTGTTTCAGGTTGGTCGCTACTTTGTTCAACAGTACTATCCGGTTCTTTGTCAACGACCTCATTTAGTTCATCATTTTTACACCGATGATAGTTCTATGGTTCGGGTCGATGGGAATTCTAGCAAGACTGTTTCGGCAAAGCTGGTAATGCTTTGACTCCAATTGCAAATGAGTAAAGAAATTCATCCTCTGTTTGACAAAAGTCTTTCCTTAGAGAAGAGCTTTAGGCGGCTCCAAACCAGTCCCAAAAGAATTTCATTGCAAGGATCAATACATTTGTTCCAACTAATAAAAATACATATGTTCCAACATGGATGGTTATTTGATCGGGCACGTTCCTTGATCATAAATATGAAATACCATGATATATTCCCCACAAATGACATGTCGTTCCCCAGGCCATCCATAAGGAAGTACCAGTAGATTTAGCGTTTTAAGTCTAAATCTTTGTCAGGGATTAAAATTGCTCTGATCAAGTAGAGCAGTTGCACTAGGAGATGTTGGATCTGTTCTGCATAAGGATTTAGTTCTTGTGAGCATGTATGGGTGATGGAGGGATATTAGTAACCTTAAGGCTATCTAGTTGTCTTGAAAAGGGTGGTGGAAGGACTAAGGAGTTATGTAGAACTAAGAAGAGTTTACAAAATAGGATTGTGAGGAATTCTAGGGTTTAATTATAGAAGCTGATGTTGATATTGTAGTTAAGAGATTTATCTTTCATAAAGAACGAGAGGTTGCCTTAAAATGTGGCCCATATGCTAAGATGGATCCATTGCTAGGTCAAGGCATGTCTCCCAACGAGTAGTTATGTGCATATGTTGGGACACGTGCACTGATCTAAACAATGGACTGTCGTAGTCCATGAACATTTTGAATTATTACTTTCATGCATTATTTGCTATATTGGAAAAAGCTATTTGTAATAGAAATGAGTTGAAAACTCCTAGTAGCTGCTAAACTGTACTTATAATTAATTACTTGCGGATTAAGCATTTATGATTGGTCCGCCAAATGGACTGTTTAAAAGCAGTTCTGCTGTAGCTAGTCAAAGCTAGGGTTTGGTGCATAATGTCCTGTTTGTGATTTTGGTCATGTAGATATCAAGAAGGTCACAGTGGGATATTATCAGAAATCACGATCCTTAAGCAGTCCATAACTTTTGCCGCTTCAATCTCTTGGACTCTTCTATTCCACAAGATGGTGTTTCTGTTGTGGCTGTTTCAGAAGTTAACTGTTGCATTTGTGAATTCATTTTCAAGTGTTCCACTGAGTAGATAAATATTATACTAGTCTAAAGAAGGCATCTCCTCAAGGACAAAGAGTAAGTGCTCCAAAACTAATCTTTGGGGGCAGTGGGGATAGTGCATGTAATCTCTCGAAAATCTTCAAGAATCATTTATTTCTGACTAGAATGTTTGTTTGTGAAGGTACGAGACATGTCTTCATTCTTGTATTGTTCCATGACTGTGCTGCGTATTGATGTATAATAGTGGTAGTAGTGTAGTACCATATGAGGTGGGACTAGCTGTTGATGTCCAACAAGGGGACCAAATAAGTTGATGCTACTCTCAGTAATTGATGTTTTTCATGTAAAGCTGTTGATTATGAACATTTTTGGAAGTTTCAGCAGATGGAACTACACTTTTTGTCTTAATTCCGTGATTTATTTGTTTTAGTTATGTAAGCCTCCACGTTTATGACTTTGTGTGCTTCATTTAACTTATTTTGTTTGATTGCCACAATGTGTAGCTTCTAGGTTGGAATAAATGAAGTTTTGTAACATATATTTTCCTCTCCTTCTGCAGCAAATTGATGCACTTTTGATGTCTAGAAAATTTACCCGTATTGTGGTCAAGACGATAAATTCTCTGGAATCGTGGAATGGAGGCGTCGTTGTGGTGGTTTCTGGTACTGTCAAATCTCAGGATTTCAGTGGCTTGAGGATATTTGTGCAGACTTTTTTTCTTGCTCCTCAGAAGGAAGGTTACTTTGTTATTAACGATATCTTTCACTTTGTTACTGAGGAGGTGATGTATCCACCTCCTGTGAGCATAGTATCAGAAAACAAAGTTGAACCCCAAGCAAATACTTCTAGTCTTCTTCCAGATACACCAGGTAAGACTTGATCTGGATTGTACAACCTTATCAAATATCACAGATCTTTCTGTTCTTTTCTTAGACTCATTAAGCTAGACAATGCCACACAAAGTTGGGTGAGAACTCAAAACCAGTTCTTAGTCTCAAAGAGAGTATTTTCTTTTTGATATCCTTTAAGGTTTTTCCAAAACAAGTATGATTCTATGTAAAGAGACAACTGCTGTGTTTTTTAAGTAACTGTTGGGCAACGTGACATATTTTCGGCAGATTTCAACCGTGCATTGGAGGTTGGGGCCAGAGAATTTGAGGAGGAAACTATTGTGGAAGAGCCATCTATTAGAGAGCCTCCAGCGATTACTTATGCCTCTATAGTATGCACCTCTTCCCTTGGTACTAGTGCATACAAATATACCCATGCATGTGCATTTGCTTGCTCTGCATTGTTTAACGCTTTACTGTATCGGTGGGACTATATGTTGAGGAAATAAATTCTACTCATTACACCCTATTGCAACAATAGCTTGAGAAATTCATCTACGTTGGATGGACAGTTATATCTGCCCATGCAACATGCACATTTCAAATTGGTTGAAAGTACTAGTGCATGCACGACAAAAACTTGGCACGAGCGTGGAATATGCCTGGCGTGCATCGTTTTAAGAAAAAGTATGGAAACATCTATTGATTTGTTTAGTATTCCACAAGAAATGTTCCCTTTTTCACATGGAGGAGGAAGTTTGAGAGTTTGGCACTCTTAACTCTGTTTCTGTTCTGAGGATTGAGAATGCAATGTATGTGACACTGATGCATGCAATATCTGATACTCATGCCATGTTACATTGACATTGCATCAAGTCCCCGCTTGAGTATGTGACAGGTGGGTTTTGTGTAGGATTGTCATATTAGATCAGAGAGACCCGTTGGTGAATTATCAATTTTTACCTTGTTTACAAAGGTACATGATTATCTGTGGGTTCATGTTGGACTGATCTATCTGTCTTTTCCTCTTGGCATTTGAATATTGGAAAACTTGAAAGGTGAGAGCTCCTAAAGGAAAATCTGTGCGATCAGTCCCTGCTCAGCCATCTTTTACTAAGAACATGGACGTGGCAGGGAAAGGTTTATCACGAGAAGAAGAAGGTGACCTCTGTATGTTTCACTCTTGTGTAGACTAAAGTTTTATTTGTGGGAGCATATTTAGAACTGTGAAGTTCTCTTTGATAGGAAACTTTATCATGAACTTGTTGACTTTGGACACATAAAAAGGACATGCAGAATTCTATTTTGACCTAGATGTTGAAAAGTTGTTTGATGGAAACGGTTTTATTTTGTTTTTGCTGGGGTGGGGGATCTCTTAGGGTGGGCTTTTGGGGGCTCAAGACATGATCCATGTGAGTGTGTAGGTGAACCATGTATGAGGTCATCTCCATGATGGAGATTTAATTCTGAAATGTACATAAGACTTTGACAGATTGTTAATGACTTACAGCCTTTTATCTCTTTTTAATATTCTTGATAACTATCTTGCACTCTTAGATTTTTCTAGTTGATGATTATCAATTTAGGGACATGAAGTTGATTTTGATCAATCATTTATCCAGTGGAATTATCTACGTCTGTTTGTGTAAAGAACCTGCCTTCTACCATTCGTGCCCTTGATATTCTGCACGAGTTTAGTAACTTTGGGAGAATAAAGCCTGATGGGGTGTTTTTAAGGAACCGCAAGGTGAAATTCATTCTTTGTACTTTTAATGATATGCCTTGACATACACCTTGGACTTGGAGGTATCTAAAATTGCAATGATCTACAGGAAATTGGGGTTTGCTTTGCCTTTGTTGAGTTTGAAAGTGTCCAGAGTGCACAAAATGCAATCAAGGTTTGAACTATGACTGTCTAAATGAGTTAATCCTTTGTTCTGACATTCTATTATTCTAGTGAATTGCCGCAGTGTTTGAGGGCAGTCATTTTAGCGCAGCTTGTGCTGCCTCAACAGGAAATTAGCAGTTTCAAATTTGTCTGATGATTTGTGATGTTCATTAGTTTTATTTTTGTCTATTTGCATGTCTTGTGGATTTACTGATCGTACATTTGTTGCTTTTCGTGCTGAAGCATGTTTGCGACGTTATTTTTAGTGTAGAAATTTCAAAATGAGAAGCTTACTGGCATTTGGAAGTTTGTTTATTATTAAAAAAAAATAGTTTTTTTTTTATCTGGCACAAATTTTTAGAGCTTATTTTGTTTTAACTATAAATGCACTTTGAAAAGAGGTAAAATGTCTATCTTTTGGCATGAGGTCCATCATCATGCTTGTAATGCTGGTATGCCATGTAAATGAGGTATGTTTATTTTATGAGATGAATGCGACCCATGCACCCCACCTATGGACAGTAGTGGCTTTTGTGCAATATGAGCAGCTTCCTTCCTCCTGAACGATCATGAAATGTGCGGTCAGGTAGTTTAAGTTCTAACTGTAGCATGGTTATCATGATAGGGTTCTTTGATCACCCAATCTCCTGTTCTAGTCTTATCCAAACGAAATAAACCGTTGAAGATTCATCTTTTTGTTACTGTTGTAATTAATATCTCTGAAGCTCGAAGCTCCAGTACATCGTCATAAACATGTTAAGTAGAGTGATTCAACTACCATGAGTTTGTGGTTTGAATGTGATGGTAGCCACTTTGTGCTAATAATGCCAACGTTTAGGTCTTTGTCCAGTGCACCCAATCCAATATCCCCTACCTATTAATATGGACCAAACTGGACAATGCCTTTTATTATATATAAAAAAAACAGCCCCGCGTATGTCTCCCCTCTTTTTTTCTCATTTTGTTGGTTTTTTTTGTAGGCATCTCCCTTACAATTGGCTGGAAGACGAGTCTATGTTGAAGTGAGGAGAGCAAACGGCAGCAGTAGCAGTTCTCGTGGAGGGAGTATGTGCCTCAAATTACTCTTTCTTGGAAATAATAATTCGCCATTTGATTTGTTATTTTATCTTATGATTCTTACTTATGGGAAACATGATGTATTTGTATGAACTCTTTGGAATCTTTAATTCTGCCACCAACTGGTTCTTTACCAGAATTTATAAATACAAACTGTTCTCTTGGTTTTGACATTCCATATAGTATCATTGATGGACAAGTTATTCTTATATTGAGGTGGTACTGGACTTAAACTTATATAAGGTGGACTTGTACAGCCACTGGCAGTTGAAGGAAATCTGAATGGCTACTATTGGATTCTCTTTGAATTGGGTCTCAGATGTGTCTTTTTTCCATCTGCTCATATAGAATGTAAATGTGCTTTGGGTTTTAGAAAATAAGCACTGGCTTTAATGTCCAAGTGAGAATGCATCTTCATATACCCATCATGAGCTCTCTTTATTACACAGCGAATGGTCCCATAATGCACTTGTTCTCTCCCATGTAAGGTTGAGCACTTGAGCTCTCTTTAACATGTGGACTGTGTAGCTAGTCTCAAGAAGATACATGCATGCTCTTTGTTCCTAGGAAACAAAATGTAAAAGCGGTAGTTGAGTTGATAGTGACTAAAAAGGGGATTGGGGTATCACAATTCTGTTTCGGTGATGTGGGGTGGCGGTGTTGACAGGGATTGGTGGTGGTGGCAGTGGGGGTGCCATTTATGCCTAATTGTGGTGCATTGGGATGTTGTGATGATATTAATGACAGTGGCATACGGTTTTAGTGATTCCTGCAGTTTGAAGCGAAGCACAATTTGTGTGATTTGTGCTTCTAGAACTTTGTTAACATACTGCTGCCTTTTGAATTGTTTGGTCAGGAAGGGGAAGAGGCAGAGGAAGGTATTAAAATGAGCCACTGCAAGGGTGATATGGTGCACATACTTTTGACAGGGGAAGCAATCAAGATGGGGATGACAACAGCAAACAAAGAGGCAATGGATTCTAGGGTTCGTAATGACCCAAAGGGTCATGACACACCAAGTAGAAGCAACTGGGCATAACTACTACTACTACTTGAGCCCCAATCTTTTCCTTTCTTTCTTTTTTTTTTTTTCTGTTTTCTCTTGACCGAGGCAGATTGGTGCTATAGTTCAACAGTTTCTAGAAGGGAAACATTTTCCTTGTGATGTTACGAAAACAAATATTGGTTTTAGTGCTGTTTGACGCATGTTGAGAGATTTCATCATTCCATTTCTCCTGTTTGTGGCACATATGCTTATTCTTCACCTCGATTGTTTTTTAACTTGCAATCAAGAGGTAATACTTTTGTACCTTGGAGCTTCTGTTTGGGCCAAATCTCATGACTAAGCTGGTTTCTGGTGTACTATGGAGCCCTGTGATTTTGATGCTTAGTTTGTCTTGCATTTCATACCTTTAAGGTTTAGCTTATGTCTCTGTTTCATACAGTTTCAAATTTGTAGTTTCTTTGCAAGATTGGCTGGCAAAATCTAACTACTTTGTGTTGCAGATGTATACTTCCACAGATTCGCAGTCCCTATTCCTATTCATCTGCTATTGCTTCCAGCTCGAGGAAAGATGTTACTATAAAAGAAAATGTTAAACCAAGGTACATAACATTAAGTAATTTACAAAAGGAATGCTTGAATGCTTGTTTGTTTGGACAAAAAAAGGGTATTTTTTATATTTTGCTTGTAATCCTGGTTTTCATATAATGAACGTAAAATATATGTTATATATTTATCCTTGAATTCCTGTACCTGTCAAACTACATACTAACACCCTCTCTCACACACACGCACGCGCGCCCATTACAAAGACATATGGATTGTGCTTTCAACCATTTAAATGATCTACTAAAATCGTTCCCTGTAACATCTACCAAAGCTTGCGAAAGTTAAGCAGTTACAGAAGCCATGCCTGCCTTATGGAAAAGGGGTGGCGCATGGGGATCGTTAAGTGCATCATCTTCATCTTCATCTTCTCCTGCTTCCCAAAGGAAACTGGCATATGCTGCATGCACATGGCTGGAAGAACACGAAACCAAAACTCAATTAGTTGAATTTTGTTATAGGCACCCACGAAAAAAAAAAAGAATAAAAGATTTTCCACAATGACTAGTAAGATGCACTAGCGGGAAAACAAACCTGTCCTCAGAAGCGGCTTGAACTGCTCGTTCAAAGTAGCTTGTCGTTCTTTCTCTATCCCGATGAAGCTCCCACACTAGTTTAGCATATTGTGACAGAATTTCACCATCTCCAGGGTCTGCTAGAATAGCCCGGGTATAGTATTCCTCGGCTCGTTCAAGATTTCCTTTTGACTGCCAAAAAAAGAACAGTTACATGCTAGGTAGTTTAAACGTGAAAGGGTAAGAGAGTCTTGGTCTCTGTCCAATATGCCTGATTTGCTGGTGATTTTGCATACTTACTATGATATAACCACGAATTCATAGAACCCATGGTTGGGACGGGTTTCCATTGTTTAAAAACAGAGTACTATCCAAAGTAGAATCTTGGTCTGGCCAATATGCTTGATTTGCTGGTGATTTTGCATACTTACTGTGTTATAACCATGAATTTATAGAATACATGGTTGTGACGGGTTTCCATTGTTAAAACACACAGTCCTATCTGATCATACTTTTCTGAAATACTCCATGATGAAGACACGTATCCTCGGTATTACCAAAACACTGTTGCTAAGATCAAGCACCATTGGTGCATAAAGGTAATAAATGCTCCTAATACAGAGCATTTATTGCATCCTCCCCGAGAGGAGTACATTGTACCGTCGGCATCCCGATGACCCAGCATTGATTGCTCGGGACCCCGAGCAGTTAAGAAGAGAAGACATTCCTCATCAGAATCAGTGCGCACACTGCCTATACCTAATGATCACCTACTGACTACACTGACAGCAATCATGAGCTTTTGAGGTATAAATACTCCTTGCAAAAGGCAAGACAGATATATGCAACAAAAAACTCTTTACTACAATACACACTCAACGTTTTCTCCTTCCTCTCTCTCTCTCAAAGACTGACTAGATCGTCGGAGGGGATACGCCGGAAAACACTCCGGCGTCTTTCTAACTTGTTCTTCTTTGTTCTAGAAACCCCTTTCGGCCTTACTGGATCGTTCTTCCGCTCCCCCAGGGTCTCCCGTTGCCGTTCCAGGTTACCACCGCACCTCGCAGGCTGTTCCAAGCAGCGTGATTGGTCACTCAACTGGCTCACTCGAGTTCACCAAGGGAGAGATCTGTTCTCGTTTTTTATATTGTGCAGGATCTTGCATGCACAATCTGGCGCCGTCTGTGGGAAACGACTAGTTTTCCTAGTTTTTTCTCTATAAAGAACAGTGACCATAGTGAACACTCGACAGAAAGGGAAAGACCCCCACCAAAGGAGTCTCGAGTTACAAGCTCCCTGTCATCACGGAGGAAGGGATCACACCAATATGAATAAAAGTGTCTCTACTCGGTCAAGAGGGGTTACCCCTCAAACTAGTATGGGAATTAGGTCAGGGGGATCAGCCCCCTTGGCTCGTCAGCTGGCGGAGGTGATTGAAGAAAAGTTTGGCGATAGATTACGACAGCTAAAAAAGGACAATGTAAACGTCCTAAGCCGGCTCAACGAGTTTGCCGCCTCTGGCGAAGGGTCGAGGGATTCATTCCTTTCTCGTGGGCTTCCCGCCCGGGAGGCGGAAACGAAGGATCTAAGAAACCACCTAAACAACAAGGCAGAAAGCTCTAGGGCCCCAAAGCGACCTAGAGCCAGCGAGCATCATCATGACAACCATTCAAGGAAGACCAGGCCATTGGCCCTGGACGACCTCCGGCGAGGTTTGTCTAGACGGAGGAAGGGAGATGAATCGGAGGAGGATTCAACCCAATCCACACGACACCCAGGAAATGAGGGGCTTACCGATGAACTCAAGGACTTCAGAAGGCATCCTGTCAGGGAAGAAATTGATCTCAGAGCCCGGTTAGACTCCAGGAGAAAGGGTAAGGCTGTCTAGGATGAGGCCGAGGACGAAGTCATACAAACACCCTTTACGAGGGAGATCGGTGAGATGGAGGTTTCAAGAAAGTTTGTCGTGCCGCGGTTCAAAACTTATGACGGGCGGTTCGATCCCGAAGCCCATGTCAGGCAATACAAGCAGATGATGTCCCTCTATCATTCGGACCAACGGTTTCTTTGCCGAGTGTTTCCTATGAGCTTGGGGGACTCTGCGATGAAGTGGTTCGAGGCGCTTCCCCCCAACAGTATTGGGTCATGGAAGGAATTGACGAAGCAGTTCCTGGCTCGATTCATTACGGGGAGTAAGCGCCCCAAAGACATTGGATCATTGCTGACCCTCAGAAGGAGGGAATCCGAGACTCTTCGCCAGTACGCCATCCGATACTGGGAAGAGGTTAATGAGGTAGAAGGCTGCTCGGAGGTCATGGCAGCAGCATCTTTCCGGCTCGGCTTGGCAAGGGACACGGACCTGTACCGATCCCTGACCAAGAAGACTCCCTCGGATATGGGGGAACTAATGGCCCGGATAAACAAATACTCGAGGGTTGAGGACGAGATGGGAAGCAGCAAAGGCCGAGCCCTCCAATCTAAGAGAAAAGAGAAGGAGCGGGAAGATATTCCCCGAAAGGGATTGCTACCCCCTCCAGGGGGTCCGTCCAAAGGAATTCACACTGTGTTCAAGGAACCCATCTTCAAGCTGCTCCATAAAATCAAGCACGAGCCGTTCTTCAAATGGCCGCCCAGGATGCAGAGCGACCCCTCCACCCGTGATCAAAAGGTTAGGTGTTCCTATCACCGGGATTTCGGGCATCGCACCGAAAGCTGCAGGGTGTTCAAATCGTTCTTGGAAAGATTGGTCCGAGACGGATATTTGAAAGAGTACATAGAGCCCAGGCCAGAAGAGAGACAAGCCCTTGCCCCGACCGAGGAGCCGGACAACATCATAGATGTCATCCATATATGTCCCCTGGATCGCCCCACGTCCAAGGAACTCGAGTCCGACCTCAAGAGGGTAGCTTTTACGAGGAAGGTAGCCGAGGTTGATGTAGGGCCACCAAGTAAAAGGGCCAGGACGGGTGAGCTTGGCATTACATTCTCCGACGCGGATTTGACAGGCGTAGTGACTCCTCATAACGACGCCCTTGTCTTGACCCTGAGGATAGGAAAATTCGATGTCAAAAGGATTTTGATAGACTCTGGAAGTTCCTCGGAGGTGATGTACTCCGAAACTTTAAAACGGATGGGTCTTGGCCCCAAAGACCTCACCAAAGTCAGGACACCCCTCATCGGATTCAACGGCTCGTTCGCCCTGCCCGTGGGGAAAATCACATTGCCAGTTGTCACAGGTCCCTTTGTCATCGACACCGAGTTTGTCGTGATCGATACGGACTCTCCCTACAACGTGATTATGGGGCGAACATGGCTGCATGCGTTGGGAGCGGTGCACTCCACTTTCCACCAGAAATTAAAATTCGCCACGCCAGAGGGTATCATGGAGATCCGGGGGGACCAAGCGTCCGCGAAAAATTATTTTTATTCAGCCGTTCGAGCCGGGGCGTTCAGCCAGGAGAAGGGGCGAGCACCGGAAGAGATTATGAAAAATAGCAATTACAGTCCGGGCGTCCAGGAATGGATGACCCCCGGATAGACCCAACTGAGCGGTCGGTAGAAGACCTCCGGAAGGTGCCCTTGGTAGAGGGAGAAGAAGAGAGGTATTTCTTAGTTGGGACCTCGATGCCCACAGCCGAACAGGAGGAGATGATCGAGTTCCTAAGGGAAAATACAGACGTGTTCGCATGGAACGAAATGGAAATGACGGGGGTAGACCCCGAGATAATCACACACAGGCTGCATGTTGACCCGTCGCACAAGCCAGTCAAACAGAGGCCACGACGCATGGCCCCGCATCACACCAGCGCGGTCAACGAGAAAATCGACAAACTCCTGAAGGCCGACGCCATTCGAGAGATACAGTTCCCAGAATGGCTGTCTAATACGGTGTGCGCAAAGAAGAAAGGGGGGAAATGGCGTGTCTGCGTAGACTTTACAGATCTAAACAAGGCATGTCCCAAGGACGACTACCCCCTGCCAAAGGTGGACCAGCTGGTAGATGCCACTGCCGGATATGAACGAATGGACTTCCTGGATGCCCGAGCAGGATATCATCAGATCCCTCTCTATCCCCCGGATCAGGAAAAGACGGCGTTTATCACTCCGAAGGGAGTTTACTGTTACAAAGTGATGCCGTTTGGACTAAAGAACGCCGGGGCAACATACCAAAGACTGATGAATCGGATGTTCAAAAAGCAGATCGGCAACACCATGGAGGTCTACATAGATAATATGCTGGTGAAGAGCAAACGGAGTTGTGATCATCTGACAGATTTAGCGGATACCTTCTCCACCCTCAGGGAGTATGGGCTGAAGCTGAATGCGGCAAAGTGCGTTTTCGGAGTGGAATCAGGTAAATTCCTCGGATACCTGGTTAGTCAACGAGGAATCGAAGCCAACCCAGATCAGATTCAAGCGATCCTGGACATCCGGAGCCCCCGCACTGTCCGAGAAGTCCAGAAACTCACAGGGATGCTGGCTGCACTTAACCGTTTCGTCTCACGCTCCTCGGACAAATGCAAACCCTTTTTCGGAGCAATCAAGAGTGCTGGGAAGAACATGTGGAGCCGGGGGTGCGAGGACGCCCTGGCTGGAATCAAGGAATACCTAAGGACTCTTCCAACCTTGTCCGTCCCCACCCAGGGGGAGATGCTGTTCTTGTACCTGACAGTATCTGAGTTTGCGGTAAGCGGGGTACTTATCCGTGAACATGAGCACCGCTAGAAGCCGATTTATTATATAAGCAAGGCGCTCCTGGACGCAGAGACAAGATATCTACCCCTAGAGAAACTGGCTCTATCCCTAGTCACCACTACAAGGAAACTGCGGCATTATTTCCAGGCGCACCCAATCACTGTCCTTACCGATCAGCCCTTGAAAGCAATCTTTAGGAAAGCGGAACTCTCCGGAAGAATTTCCAAGTGGGCAGTAGAGTTGGGGGAGCACGACATTCATTTCAAACCCCGAACTGCAATAAAAGGTCAAATATTGGCAGACTTCATAGCTGAGTTTTCGGGGGAGCATCCCGTTTTAGAAGGACCGCCTCCTCTCGACTTAGCGTCTCCAACGAATTGTGAAGGATCGCCATGGCTTTTGTGTGTGGACGGTTCGTCAAATAGTAAGGGCTCCGGAATCGGTATCTTGCTGACCTCTCCAGATGGGATTATTGCGGAGCAGGCCGTTCGGCTGGGATTCAAGGCTTCGAATAATGAAGCTGAATACGAGGCCCTCATCTCAAGACTTCGGTTAGCTGAGGCGACTGGAGTTACCGATTTAATCGTACATTGTGATTCTATGCTAGTAGTCAATCAAATTAACGGAGAGTTTGAGACAAGGGACCCTAGGATAA